TGCTTGAGATACCAACGTCTCCGGCGTAACAACAGGAGACGTTGATAAAGAGCTCTACAACTCGCTCTAAGGCTTTAGACGTTGTCGTTTTTCTTCCGAATAGTCTAGTGCTATAGCAGCAGGCCAAAGAAGATCATCCTGAGGAATCCAGGCAGTCACGTTTGTTGAGAACTGCATTCACGAAAGAGTTTAAATCACTGGTCCTTTTTGGGGCCATCGAACGTTAAACTACCTTGTTAACAAATACATTACAACCTAACAAAGTTGACCAGGACCAATAAGCTCCAGGATTTTGTTACTCTGGTTAAAAAGTTATATGATTGGAAAAACATTGTTTCTATTGTATATGTTTTGTCAGTTTTAAATCTTTACAGTTTTAACAAATAGCCCTTTTCATTTAATCTAACGTGAGAAAGTGCAAATCAACAGCCTTTGAGGGCTGACATTTATTTTAAGACGTAAGGAACGCACGGTACTTTTTAGGATCATAATTTTTTTTTACTTTTTACAGTTTATCATTTGACAAAACAAAATGCATAGATTCCGAATAAATATGTTTTTAATAATAAGATTTTTCGTTTTAAGAAATGCCAGGAATAGATGTAACAAATTTAACTAAGAAAGTCTTATATTATGTGTCAACACACTTCGGTGTTCTTTTCAGTGAATCTCGGGTGGAGCCGGGGGGCCGCTAGTAAATTACATGTGTATGTGAGACAATGGCTCCTAATCATGACACGATTTATAAGTTTTGCCCTGTTTACATCCCTTTAATGATCGATATGGCTGCTAAAACTTAGGCTTACATACACCTTTCTATCTCCTTTATATCAATGAATTGATTAAAAGGGTATAAGCCTGACAACAGTATGAAGTTAGGTTTAAAACTTCGACTTATTGGTATTTATTTTTATAGGTTTATAAAGGTTTACTTTAACTAGGTAAACAGAGCGGGTTTCAGCATAGACCCAGCCCCCACACGGGAGCCTCAATTACACCTCTGTGCCAGTCCCTACACCTCTTTGCTGTATTTACCCGTATGCTCGTCCTGATGTTATGTCCATGATTGCTCAATTAGTGCCAGGCATTCCTACATTGATCCGGGCCATTAGATTTGAATAAGGGCGCATTTTGAAACATATTTTTAAAACTAATTTTGTTAGATCTATATTATCGTACGTTTTCAAATTATTTTTAGCTAATAATAATAAATCTAAGAATAAACTTTCATATATAAATTTACTTACACTTAATCAGTTTTGAACTTCGGTCTTCAAGGTGATAGATAGGTACGCTACCGATTGTGCTACCGAAGAGTTGGAAATACACCTTTACTAATATGTCTAGAAGATGTCTTATCGATAATGAGTATTATAAAAAAGTCTTAAAGATAACTCAAAAGTTTCCTTAGTATGATCTAATGTTGTCTTAAAAATAACTTTAAGATGGCTTGAAGATGTGTTGAAGTGAACCTAAAGACAATTTTAAATATGGCTTAAAAATGACTTTAATACCTAAAAAGTGGTTTGAAGAATTTTTTCATGTTCTTTATGATGTAAATTTAGTAGTTTTCCTAATAAAAGCCTCAAAAAAACGCTCTAATCTGTATGATTTTTCTCCGAACTAAAAACAAATTATGTATTTAAATACTTGAATTTTGCTGTTCTTACTGACTAACTGCTACTGTAACTGTGGGAGAAGCAAATGGTGACATCATCAACTTCATTACCATCAACATTATTGATGGAATCATCCTCATCGTCAGCATCATCGTCGCCTACCTCACTTAGTACGAGAATAAGTGACTAACAAGCAAGTGATGCTCTGCCTAATTTATCAGATAATCAAGTTGTACAAATGTCCCTACAACTTTTAGAAAAGGATTTGTTGCTTTCTTCTTCTTCCTTTTTATACCCTAATCCATCACTATTAACTCAAAGCCGAGTAAAATAGTTAAGTTCTAGTTAAGCTGCACATTTATTGTTCAATGACAAATCTTTGCCACTAGAATAAGAGTTTATAGTATCAAAGATTCAGATTCAAAGGGACTTTCACAAAACAAGTAATCCAATGAAAATGTTTTCCGTAAGATTTGTGAAAATGTGGATGAGAATTTACAAAAACCTATTTGTACGCAAGAGTTAAGTTCTCCAGCTGCTATGTTACTTATATCTAACGAATTTGGAAACTTGTTTACATGTACACAGAGAGGTAACGTTGTATATCACTTATTTATAAAATAAGAATTCATCTGTAACAACTTCATGTTTAAAATTAACTTTTATAGTATTACTGGTAGCAATATCAGCAACATCAAGAGGTTGTAACTACAACATACAGCTTAAACTGCAAAGAAGTTTCCTGCTGGTTTCATACAGCAACAATAGATCGTACTTGTTCAACAGCAGAACACCTATGATCAGCAGCAGAGCACACTGGTCCAGCATGAATCTTTTCTTGCGTATACCGAAGTAAATTATAATTTCTTTAATTTTTTGAAAAAGAGGATGAAGCGTACACTTATTTTATAAATATAATCAGTAACAGCAGAGCATACTTACCCAGCAGATAGCAGTAGAACAACTGCAAAACCAACAAACAGCAGTATAGCAAAAGTCTGCTCTTCCGCAGCAATAACAAACAGGAGTACAAGAAAAGTCTGCTCTTCCACAGCAATAACAAGTAGCAGTGCAAGAGTTTGCCCTTTCACAGCAATAACAAACAACAGTATAGCAGCAGTTTGCTCTTCCACAGCAACAACAAACAGCAGTAGAGCAGAGTTTGCTCTTCCACAGCAAAAACAAACAGCAGTAGAGCAGAGTTTGCTTTTCCGCAGCAAAAACAAACAGTAGTGCAGAAGTTTGCCTATCTCTAGCAACTATATACAGCAAAGCAGTGGAAACAATAAACAGCAACAATTCAGAAATATAAAGAGGCAAAGGTTCAAAATCAAACAGAATTAGTGACTGAATCTTTTTACGATGATTTGTACTCTAAGGATTTGAATCAAGCATCTTTATTTTTAAAAGGTGTAGTTACTAATATATTCTTATTTTCAATACAACAAAATTTACGATATTTAATTAACTCTATTATATATAAGAAAATCAAGCCCGAGGAATCAGAAATCTATAAATTAAAGCATAAATTTCATAGTGCGCTATAGATTTATCAAAGGTGACAGGCGACTGAATACTTGGAATTTCTTTCATATTTTATACAACAAAACAAAAATATGCAAGTTACTTTCATATACTATTGTTGGGATTGATATCAATAGCCATATCTTTTGGCTGTAATACATTCATTAAAAATACCTTGATAGCATAAATAACCACAATTATGAGAATTATAATCTTGATATTTTACACGGTTATACTCAATACTGTCAACTTTCAAGTATAACATCAAATCGATAGATGGTTGTAGATCATTAAAACTGTTAAAATGAACAACATCATTACGGCGTTTTCGATTAGCTACTAGTCTGTTCCAAAATCATCGTTATTTTCGGGATTAACTATAGCAGTTTCACAATAACAAATTTAATCAATTACAAAGTCATTTTGCATAAATAACCCTCAAAAATTTTTTTTGCGCTTCATTCTCAGTAAGCTAATTTGGTCTTCTGTCTGTACCGTTTATTAGGTAATTAACCAATAAATTAACTGATAGTGAGTCTGTACTAGACCGCATATTTTATAAATTAATCAATAAATCAAGTCCCACCCGCTTTCTCCCCAAAAACTCAATGCGCTTCACTGTTTGTGACGTGGTAGCTAAGGCTATCGCGTCACTATATACCTATATTTTTGGGCAAGTCATCGGCGGCTACCAAGTCACATAATAATGTATATATTTTCTATGTATACATATTCTTGACAAATTATTTAATGTGTGTTCTCGGTGCCACGGACTACGAGCCAAGAGGAGAGAGAAGGACCACAGGCAATAAGAGAAGTTGAATGTGTGTGAGGTATGGTTGAGTGAATGTGTGTGTAAAAGGAAGAAGAGAGATGGATAAGCTCGCGACGCGTCGGGAAAAAACCGTGGGTCAGGTAGTCGCGTTAAGGACTTAATTTTTGAAACCTCTAAAGATTTACCGGTTTTTAGGAGCGTTGGAGATTTTCAGATGCAAAGGGAAGGGGGCGCGCGAACCTATGCAGACTCACTGAATAGCATAGTCAGTATTGTATGGAGCAACATCGAGAGTAGATAGTAGAGAGTTATAGGAATACGAAAAAGGTGACAGGTGAGAGGTGAGAAGAGTATTATCAGATGTTAAGATAGGATATTGATTGATTGATTGATAACAGATTTTATTATGCTAAGGATTCGAGATCCGAATGACAAGAGTACACATAGTGAATAAGAAAAGTTAGAATATGAGAAGAGATGCATACAGACCAACAATTAGCTCAGATTACAGCAGATCGCAGAGACCACGCACGCATAAGTGTCGTTTATAAAACAATTCAAACTAAATAAATATAACTCTATTAATCAAATCGATACGACAATGTCATTCGTTAAATAAAATCCGCTGGATGGTTTGCAAGGTAGAGCTACACTAAAGCAAGTAAGTATTTGTATAGTACATCCTTAAATGAGGACTGTCACTCGATCATTTTAATATCAAAGGGCAAATTCTTCCTAGACTTCTAGCGCCGTGTGTAAAGTAACGCTGGTAAGTGGCCGTGCGGGTCACTGGCCTAAGTAACGAGGAAGCTCCAATTCTTTCCAACCTCCGCATGTCCACCACCTCAGGAAAAAGCCCCGTAAGATAATCCGGGCAGCCAGTCGTTAGCATGCGATACATTAGCAACCTAAAGAAATACCATCGACGCAAGGTCAAAGTAAGCCAACCTATATGTCTGAAATAGGGCTTCAATTCTGCATCACCCCACAGACGAAACACATGACGCACGACCGTGTTCAGCAACCACTGGAGCTTCAACTCAAGATAGCCGGACATGTCAACAAGCACCAGACAGCAATAATCAAGGTGAGGGACAACCAACGGACCCACCAGACCCCTGCGAAATTTTCGCGGTAACCGAACACGCCTCAGTGAGTTCACCGTCCAGTACCAGCACAGCAACTAAACGGTCGGAGATGTAAGAGTGTGCCCAGCGGATAGCCTCAGCTGAGAAATTGAAACAGCCCAACGAACGCAAGAGGGCCGCATGACCAATCGTGTCAAATGCGCGACGAAAATCGAAGTAAACGGCCAACGTGATGAGGCCCCAGTCTATTCCTAACCTAATATCGTTGGATACCTTGAGCAACGCAGACTGAGTACTATAGCCACGCCAGAAACCAGACTGAAGCGGCGAGAGAAGCGACCTGTCCTCCAAGTAATCATAAATCTGGTTTGTTACCAAAAAGTCAAAGACCTTAGCCAAATGAGCACCATTAGCGATCAGAAGTGTATCACCCGCATCAACAGGGTTCGGCACTTTAGAGAGAGGCACAATGGTGAAAAGTTTCCAAACAGAAGAATAGATACCCGTCGACAAAGATTCATTAAAAAGATATACCGTGTAGTCGGCACTACCGGTAAAGACCCCAAAAAAATAAGCCAGGGACAGTCCATCGCCACTGACAGCGTACCATGCCAAGACAGCGCACCTGAATGACATCAATCCGGCCAAACCGAAAGAGGTCACTCGAGGGTGGCAACGAGTCAAGAATTTATTCAAGCTCAAGCTGGGAGTAGAGAGGAGACGAGCAAGACACCAAAGAGTAATGTCACAGTAGTGTATCAGGAGCCATGGTCATCAAATGCGATCGCAGCCTAGTGGCTGCAATCCCGAATCGACCAAGTATGCACCAACACTTCGCCTGGTCCCTCTCTTCCACCAACAACGATCGCAAATAAGCCTCACGCGAGTGCTGAATTCGAGCCTTCAGCCTCCTGCACAGCGCCCTATACTCAGCAAGCCCACCAACGTTACTCGACCGCCAAGCTACCCTATAAATACGGTTCCGACGCCTACACTCACTATGGATCTCAGCCGTGATCCAGGGGGCCAGCGCTCTACGGAAACAATATTCTCGAAAGGCCACGTACAAGTCAAGAGCCTCCAATCCGGCCCCACGAAAGGCTGCCAAGGAAAGTTCAACATCAGAACCAAAAAGGTCATCCACCCGAGCGATTATGAGGTCCCACAGGCTAAGAGAAAAAGCCTTAACAGAAAAACCTCTAAAATCTCGCGATCTGTAAAAACACGCTTAATTATAGCAGACGCGGGAAATTCATAACCAATAAAAAGATAATAATGACCAGATATGAATGGCGCCTAGAACTGCTGTACCCATCGCACCCTCTTATTCGCATCAACAATAATAGTGTCCAGCCAAGTATGAGATGTGCCGGTATGGTGGGTAGCATCATATGGCAGCAGGTGAAGGGAATACTCCGAAATCAGGCAACGAAGGTCGTCAGAGTAGTACTTTCACTCAAGAAGGACAGCATTAAGGTCACCCACTATGATAGAACCTGAACAACAATGCGTGATTATTGAAAGATTCGAAAAATGATGTGAGTACTTGCCCTTTTGGGCGTCTATAGACAGCTGCAATAAGAAGTTTTTGTGAAGGTAAAGAGGCGATTTCCACTAATACAAGCAATCAACAATTTCATTGCAGATTTACAGGAAATAAAACAGACAAAAAAAGACGATACAATAATTAAAACACGGATAAGTTCGACACTAATAGCTCAATAAAAAGTATTTAAAAGTGCTTCTAAATATATAACAAAAACATTTTTAAAGGGGCAAAATCAAAACATGCCGAACACTATATGATTCGGGCATTGTTTAGTGGATACCCAGCCCGTAGGCAGTGTTTACATTTAGCGAATAGCTACAAGCCTGGCTATGCCAAGAGCTCAACGACACAACAACAGTCTGTCTTCGAATGGTCGCACAGTGCTCCAATTTATCAACACGCAGTGTGGTTGATTGTCGGTGGATTGCACTACTATACGTACAGTCCTGTGGGCAAGGAGATGCTCCCCAAGAGGCGGCTGATACTGGACTCAGCGAAAATAAAAAGAATGCTCACCAGGATACCTCACGCCACTGCACTCGGGCCACCAAAAGTGCCACTTGTCAGGAGTGAACAGGCAGCACTGCATTCGGCAACTACGAACCAGCCGGACAACAGCACTTTGAGGTTAGAACAAACACCACCAGGAATTTAGAAACTTTGTTTTCGAGTACCAGGCGGCCAACAGCACCAAAACACCAGGTGAGAGCCTACTCGGGCTCGAAGAGAGCAACACCTGTTAACAAAAACTCCAACAGAGGTCTTAAATTAATAGCAATAAGATAGGTGTACTGTGAAATGTGCACTGACAGTATAATACGGAACATAGTAGTGGGAGACTATCCGAGCGAGCACGAGTGTATGTAAGCGGGTGTACGCAGGGATACGGAAATCAAAGTGAGCGAGAGTAAGTGTGAGTGGGCTTACATAGGGATAGGGCAATTAAACCGAGCACGAGGTGTATTTGGGGTTGCGTGTGTGTGTGTGTGTGCGTGTAACCTAGGTACCGGGCACCAACAGTCAAGCCAAGGAGGAGTTCGGCGGTGAGGACGACCAAGAGGTGTTCACAAGAAGACATTTTACCTCGATAGCAATGTGCCGATACATTTATAGAGAAGAGAGGGAGAGAGAGAGAGACAGAAAGAGAGAGAGAGAGAGAGAAAGTGTGTAATAGTCAAGAGTGCGTAGAGGACGAATAATTAGCGCAGTCACACTGTGAAATTTTCATCAGTGATTGAATTTATTTGTAATTTGTGCCCCCCCCCTTTCTCCCATTTTAATTTTCTTTTAGAAGTGTTTGGCGTTTCCGAGCCGGACACCTGTGTTGAACTTTCTGGAGGAGCAGAATCTATTGTGTAGGGACTAGGTAAGTGACGTACGAGAAACTTTGTGACAGGAGAACAGGACAGCTATTTGCATGTCTGTACCGTTTATTAGTTAATTACTTAATAAATTATTGGACACTTAGCCTGTACTATAAATGAATAAATAAATAAAATCCCAAGCGCTTACTCCCCGAAAACCCGGTTTGCTTTACTATCGGTAGCAATTATTACTTAATTAATTAATAAGCTAATCGACAGTGGGCCTGTACTAGACTACTTGTAAAATAAATAAATAAATATATAAAATTGTAAGCGTTAGATTTTCATATGCCTGGTACACACTGTCTATGCCGTTTATTGAGTTTTTAATTAATAAATTAATGGACAGTGAGCATGTACTAGATCTCTTGTTAAATAAATTAATAATAATCGAAGCACTTAATCTTAATAAATCCAGTACGCTCTACTGTCTGTAATTTTAATGAGTTAAATGATTAAGTAATTGATTGACAGTGAGCTTGTACTAAGCCACTGGTTAAATAAATAAATAAATAAATAAATTTCCAAGCACTTAATCTTATAAGATCAATAAAGTCTTCTGTTTTAAGTATGTTTTTTAAAATATTAATTAATTAATGTCTGGAGTGATAAACCACCTGTAAGATAGTGTATCTCTCGACCGAAAGTAAGAAAGTAATCGGAAATGGAATGAGTGAAGTAACCGGAACAGGATGGATCCAAGACTTGAGTAAAAAAGAAATTATAAAAGTGTGTCTTGCCAATAAACTTGAAACTAGTGATTCAGAAATTTTAGATGACCTGAGAAGTAAACTAAGAGAGTGGGTAAAAAAATTAATAAAGGAGAAGAAAATGAAGTAAATACTTCAAAAGACATTGAAAACGATAGCGAATACGGGAAGAAAACTAAAGAAGAAATAAAAACCAAAAGTAAAAAAACTGTGGGAAAAAAATAGAATACGATGGAAATAGCTGCACCATTTCATTTTGATGTAGAAAAAGATGATTGGGAAAAGTTTGTTGATAGGTTGGAGCAGTACTTTATTGCTAAAGATATCAACGATAAAAAGAAAATGAGAGAAATTTTATTAAGTAAAGTAAACGCCGATACTTAAGATTTAATCAATCAAATTTGCAAGCCAATGAACTTGTTAAGCTTGTAAAAAGTCATTTGAAACCAGAAGCATCATATTTAGTACATCGAGCGAAATTTCGTCAGCGCATGCAGTTGGAAAATGAATCAATCAGCGAGTACGCGGCAATTCTCAAGAATCTGAGCAAGGGTTGTAAAATTACCCAACTAGAAGAGCAAGTGTGGAATCAGTTAATTACAAGACTCCGAAGTAAAGATATCAAAATGGAGCTGCTGATAATGGAAAATCCAACAATGGGGACGACTGTGAAGAAAGCATTGACATGCAAAGCAGCACATGTGGGAGCAGAGAGATTGCAACAGAAGGAAAATTCCACTGTCAACGGTAAAATTTGTAAAGTAAATATTCAATCGAAAGAATACGGCAACAGTGGCAAAAATAACAGGGGAAAAGGTGGAGATAATCAAGAACGGTTAAGGAGCCAAACAAAGACACCGGGAGTAAGATGATCGCAACGAGGCGGACACCAAGCAGCAGCGAAAACAGGTAAATCGTGAAGAAATTGCTGTTGTTATGGAAAAGCGAATCATTCTGCCTGGAAATGCCGTTATCGACAGCATGCGTGTAATATTTGTAAAAGTCCCAGTCATTGAAGTACAATGTGTTTTGAAAGATCGAGAGTGTCTGATATGAATTATAGAAAGAAAGCGAGATTTAGTTATATAGATTCCGCAAACAAATACAACAATACAGATAGCGTGACACGCGAAATGAAGAATATATTTGCAAAAACCAGTGTGAGCGAGATGTATTATTTGAAATCATATGTGCAGGGAAACACATGAGTAGAAGCTAAGTATTCAACTGCAAAAATAAATAGTGTTAAAATTCCTATGGAAGTTGATTCTGGTGCTACTATCTCGATCGTACCGTTAGCGTATAAACAGAAATTTTTCTAAAAAATTGAAATGTTTGACTCAGATATTTCGCTGCTTAATTATGATAGATCTGTTTAAAAGCCAGCAGGTATGCTTCGACAAGGAGAGATTGAAGCGAGTGGAAAGTGTATATCGGCTGATGTTTACATGACAAATTCAAATGGGCCAGCTGTAGTAGGTCAGATATGGCTCTAAGCATTAAATTTGTGGCCTTTATCTCACGATTTAAAATTTTAAGCGATTGAACCAAAAATTGCAGAGAATAAATAATTAAAAAATATTTTTTTTAAACATGAAGCGATATTAACGGGTAAGGAAAAATTCACGAACGGTAAAGTAAAATTAAAATTAAAAGAAGAGGCTAAATCAAAATATTGACTCGCGCAGTTTGTATCATTTGCGTTAAAGGAGAAAATTAAGGTTGAAGTGAATCGATTTGTAAGTGAAGGGGCAACTAAAGTGATTGAGCACTCTGAATGGGCTACTCTAATAATTTCGGTGCTTCAGCCAAACGGCGGTATAAGCATGTGTGCCGATTTCAAAGTCATTTAAATCCCACATTTGCTATAGTGTTGCGATATACCCAATATTTCTCTTGGGTGCTCTCGGTTAGTAACGCAAGCGCAGAAGAACCGTGCTCTCTCTCTCTCTCACCGGGCAGGTAAGAGTAGGGGAGCCCCCCTACCTAGCCTTTAACTGAAGCCCGGCCCAC